ACTGTACCAGCAGCAACTAGGTTGTCTGCTGTTCGCATCTGTCACCTGCCGACCCGACCTTTTGTACATCGCCAGCCAACTGGCACAGTACTCTTGCAAGCCAGTAGTAGAGAACCAGCTGGACCTGAAGCACGCCCTGCAGTACTTCATCTCCACCCTTGACATTGGGCTCTCCTACTCCACGCTGACGACGACCTCCTTCAACCTTAACGGCTACGTGGATGCATATCACGCCGCTGATCCTGCGAATTGGCTTTGTTTTCCGCCTGGAACCAACTGGGCCAATCTCCTGGAACTCGCAGAAGCAGGCACTGGTTGCCCTGTCATCGGCTGAAGCAGAATACATTGCCGCGATAGGAGCAGTTTGCGAAGGCCTGTACCTGCAAGAGCTGCTACAGGAAGCAAAAATCCCAACTTCGCCCACCTTTCGCCTTCACTGTGACAACCAGAGCGCCATCAGAATCGCGAACAAGCCTGGTTTCGTGAACCGCACGAAGCACATCGCACTTCGGTACTTTTTTGTCAAGGACGAAATTTACCAGGGGAAAGTTGACCTCGCATACTGCCCAACCACCGAGATGGCAGCAGACTTTCTCACCAAGCGACTGCCACGTCAGCAGTACAAGCACTGCTCTGACCTCACCGGAGTAGTCAAGCGAGTCAGTCCATCGTGCGCCCAGGAATGAAGGGGAGTGTTACGATATAAAATTAAATTCAATTCACATTCTCTTTTCTGAGCTCGATCCTAGATCCTCACACTTTGACTCAAATTCAAATTCAAGGTGGCGTTCGGTATGCGCTCCCGCCGAAACATGGCTGGAGTATCTGGCGGACAAGCGGCCAACACTGCCGAAGCCCTCAATATGCAGTGTATACAGGCAAAACCTAGGCCTCCGAGTGAACGTGGCGAGGTGGTCGCCAGTCACTGAGACCGTATAGATCGTCTCAAGCTCGCCTTCCGGAGTGGTGGAAGTGACCAAGTGATCTTGGAGGACAAAGTTACTCACCAAGTTCATAGCAAACGAGTGGATGTGGACCAGAGGGGACTGTTGGACACGGGAGAACAGTGGTACCTCGTACTATGACTGGGCCACAGAAGGGGTCGGCCAAAGTGACAGGGACAGTGTGGTGAGTGGTGTGACTGTGGTGCACTCGCGGAAGAAGCAGCGAGACACGCCTGAGTCTAGCGTGAAGGTGAGCAAAGCCTCCTCCGAGCTGCACCTGTGCTAGCACACTCACAAGCACCTAGACTCGCTGCTTCACCACCAGGGACGCGTCGCTGGGAAACCCACTCCCGAAGGTGTGGCGGCAAGAGGGTCTCCTGCTGACTCTGCTGTCGCTGCTGTCCACCCCCATAACCTTCGCCTCCACTAGCGGCACCACTTGTACGAGCAGACGCACAGGCACCTACACTTGCTTCCTCAACCAGCTGCTGCACCTCCCCTTACAATGGACAGCGCTGCTGTAGTGGCCGGGTGGCAGAAGAAAGGGAGGAGAAGTGTCTAACTACAGCGTCATACAAAGTCTGGGCCGACTTCACCTGACGAAGGTGGTCCCTCTTGTCGACCGGCATGTGAGTTGCGATGACAAGATGTGCGACAGCTTCACGCTCCATCCACAATGTGTAAGCAAGGATGTCCGCCCGGTACCGCCACTGCACGTCCTCGCCAGCATCAGCAGTAGGCTCGGTGGAGTTGTGGGGGCCTGAAGGGACCCCAACGTGTGCTCGAGTAGGGAGACGCCATTTATAGTGAAAAGCTGGAGATACCTGTGCAGGCACATAAACCAAAACCCTAACTTGAAAGGACGGTCGTCTGTGTCAAGCACTAAGACTGGGACAAAGGCCATGACTGGTAGCGGCAGTCAGAGCAGCGCAAGGGCAACAGTGGCAGCTGTAGGTGCAGCGGGTGGCTGTAGCAATAGCAGAGGCAGGTGCAGCGGCAGTTGGAGCGGCAGTTGCAAGGCAGCGGGGCATGCAGGCGCGGCTCGCGGGGCAGCACACGGGCAGGGCAGCTCACGCAGGCATGCGCAGCGCGCAAGGTAGCGTATGGGCAGGGCCTGCAGCAGCGCGCGGGCAGCTAGGGCAGCGCGCGAGCAGCTGGGCGCGCAGGGCGGGCGAGCAGGAGGGCAAGGGCACCGACGCACGGGCTGCAGGGCACGTGCGACGTGCAGGGCACGTGCGACGTGCAGGGCAGCAGGGCGAGCGCGACGCGTGGGGCAGCAGGGCAGCGGAGCGCAGCGTGCTGGCTGCAAGGCGCGTGCGACGCGCGGGGCAGCAGGGCAGCGGCTCGCGACGCGCGGGGCTGCAGGGCGCATGCGACGGGCGGGGCAGCAGCGCAGCAGCGCGCGACGCGTGGGCTGCAGGGCGCACACGACACGCAGGGCAGCAGGGCAGCGGCGCGCGACGCGCGGGGCTGCAGGGTGCGTGCGACGCGCAGGATAGCAGGGCAGGGGCGCGCAATGCGCTGCAGGGCGTATGCAATGCGCGGGGCAGCAGGGCGCGTGCGACATGCGGGGCAACAGGGCAGAGGCGCGTGTCGCGCGGGGCTGCAGGGCGTATGCGACACATGGGGCAGCAGGGCCGCGGCACGCGACGCGCGGGCTGCAAGGCGTATGCGACGCACGGGGCAGGACAGTGGCGCGCAGGTCGCGGTGGGCAGTAGGGTGCACGGGGCGTGCAGGGCAGCAGGGAGTGTAGAACAAACCTAACCTAATCGTAGGTTCGGTAGTAGGTTCGGCAGGCGGACCTAATCTAGCGCATGAGACCATGTTAGAAATAGAGTGCAACGGAATGACGAACTAAGAGCAATAGGGAGTATAAGTACCAACCCTAATACGTTGTACCCTCTATAAGCTACCCCACTACAACCTAGACAATAAAAAAAATGTTTTGACATACCGTACCATACATCAAAATTTTGAGTCGCGATGTTGACAAAATGTGTAGACGCGACTCGGGAAAAAGGGCATTGAGACATTTGTGTCGATACAAGAATGTATCATAATCGGATCAAATGGTACAGTAGCGTCAGCCCTGTTTGTGGCATGTTTCTCGAAATTCCACCACTGAACCCTTTTTGTTCTCTTCACTATTGAATCCGCAAAGGCGAGATCTACGTTTTCATATCCTTAATTCAAAATTTCATATGTGTTATTTATTCAGCCTATGGGCTTATACGGATTTTTCATTTATATGACCACCCAGCATTTTTCCTAATTGTTTTATAAGCCCACCTGGGAGTATATCTGGGTGATGATGGTATTTCTTAGCAAGATTAGGCCTAGGGGCCTAACAGCCTGCATGTTGCAAACTAACACCCTACCTCTTCTTTTTTCTCTCTTGGTCGTCAAAGCAGTGAAGATGCTTTTGAGGAGTACAAACAGCCGTCATGTTCGAGAGGCGCGATGACTGTACAGAAATTATATGCGCCACTTCCTGCCAATAACTTCTAGCGGGCTTCGCGGCGAGGTCGATTATGCAGCACTTCAAGCTCAGTCAATGGAGATGCAGTACAGATACTGCCAGCCCGGAATGACGGAGGAACAGACGCTCAATTCTTGTTCAAATCTCTCGCAACTATTACGGTACCGTACTTAGTCGTTTTCAGATTGAGGTCCTGCCGTTACAGCACAGCGTCGCACTAATCGCGAAAGTCCACGCACCGCGAGACACTACTATGGCCGGGTGTGATCAACTGCTGGTACGCGTGCGCGTCGTGTTGCTGCTGCTCCTCTGCGAGGCCATCGCGAGAGGCGAGGCGGCGCTGCTCGTCTACAGCGGCGGCTACTTCTACACCCCCGGTAAGCCGCCGTCGCCTCCGCGTGCTCGTTTGCGAAGCCGCGATCATCATGGTGGTCGCCTGCTTGCGCGCGCCCCGCAATACGGCCGTCGCCCGCATGCAATTACCGCCTGTTTCTCAGAAACACTTGCGCTGCGCGGTCCGCTCCTCGCCTTCTATATCCCTCCGCCCGCGCGACTCAACCACAGGACGCCGTGCTGGAGCGTGCCTGCCATTCGCCCGCCCCGCAGTCTAAATGCGCCACCCAAAGGTTCTCGCTTTACTCTCACTATGCTTCCATTGCACGGAGTCCTTCGCTAGAGCGCGCGTCGCGCGTTCGTTAGCGCGTGTCCGTTTTAACGTGTCCCGCACGCCTTCTGCAGTTCTTTGTGTGGCGCGTCTAAGCAGTTCCCTGTGCGGCGTTGCTTGCGCAGATTACAAGTACCGCACGCCGTGGTGGGGCGCGCTGCTGCTGCTGCTGGGGGTGGTGTCGGTCGTCATCGCGCTCGTCATGTGCTGCTGCAACTGCCTCGGCGCCTGCTGCGACTGCTGCTGTCCGCGGAGCAACACAGTCAAGGTCGTTCACGAGCGCTCGCCTGTGTAGCTGCGCGCCTGTCGCCCCTTGAGCACCCGCGCGCACATCAGCTGCATGCGGGAGGTGTAAATACGATATTCAAGTAAACCGGACTATACTATATGTTGATTGACTAGCTGGAATTCGAATAACGAGTCAGACTCCAGTATGGGGTTTGCACCTTACAGTGTTTTGAGCAGCTTGATTATGGTTTGTTGTTTGGAGCAATAAATCATGTCTTGATCTACTGGGAGAAACTGCATCGTGCAAACATGCAACTCCGATTGACCTGATTGTGCTGAGTGTGTTATAAACGAACATTAGTACAAAACTGCTACCCAATTAAACCCTGTCATTCAATTTGTGTGAGTGTGACTTTGTTGCACAGGGGCTGCTGGTCGGCTTAGTCTTTTATTCGATTGCTGATTGAGAGGAAGGGATACGGGTACAAGTCAGTGTGGAGGTGGAGTGGATTCTTCTATGGTGGAAAATGTCTTGTTGACTGCACCCGAAGGAGATAGATGTAAGCGACAACCGGTATCCACCATCATGCTAGTGTACCATACAATGGTGTCCTGCAATTGTACCTGTATCCCCTTGTAGCTTTTCTTGCGCTGTACTCTTTATCCCCTCTATACGGTCATCCTTCAGCTTCTCCATTCCGTTGACTGCTCTTGCTCTGACTGCTCTTCCCACCACGTGTTGGTCTGCACACACGACAAGGCACAGCATGAGATGAGAGCCACACGGCAGGCACAGCATGAGATGAGAGCCACACGGCAGGCACAGCATGAGATGAGAGCCACACGGCAGGCACACCACTATCCAGAGGGCGGTGGCAGTGAGGGCAGAGGAGCAGGGAGGGAGGTCACTGGGAGCGAACCCCACTTCCCCCCACATGCTCGCCCCACTTCCACCCACATGCTCGCCCCACTTCCACCCACATGCTCGCCCCACCTCACCTCACTGCCCACCACCGCTGCCGCATGCCACAACACTCAGGCCCTCCCCCCTGCCTACTGGCATCCTGCCCCCACACAGCCACAGCATCGCCCTAACCCGCCCCTCCCGCCCATGCCCTGCACTCACCCACTGCTTCTCTCCGTGCGTCTCTGCACCACTTCCCCTCTCCCTCGCCTTGCTAACCCCCCCACTCCGCTTCCCCCGTCCTCAAACCTTGCTCAATGCAACCCCACCCAACCCCCCCCCCCTCCCCCCCCCCCCCCCCCCCCCCGGTGTGACCTTGTAGCCGCGGCGCAGGAACTGCATGGTGGAGCCGTCCTCCTCGCCCAGCCCCAGCGCACGCTGCAGCTCCTCCTTCACCTGCCGCCCCCGCGGGCACATGTGGCACACGGGCACACGGGCACAGGGGCACACGGGCACAGAGGCACAGGGGCACAGGGGCAGACGGGCACAGGGGCAGACGGGCACAGGGGCAGACGGGCACAGGGGCAGAGGGGCAGAGACGGTTGCTTGCGGCGCAGAGTCACGGGGGCAGGGGCGAAGGAGGGGCAGGGGGGACAGCGGGGCAGGGGGGCATGGGGGGAAGGCATGGGGGAAAGGCATGGGGTGAAGGCAATGGGGGAAGGCATGGGGGGGAGGCATAGGGGGAAGGCATGGCGGGAAGGCAAGGGGGGAAGGCATAGGGGGAAGGCATGGCGGGAAGGCAAGGGGGGAAAGGCATGGGGGGAAGGCAAGGGGGGAAGGCATGGCGGGAAGGCATGGGGGGAAGGCAAGGGGGGAAGGGATGGCGGGAAGGCAAGGGGGGAAGGCATGGGGTGAAGGCAATGGGGGAAGGCATGGGGGGAAGGCATGGGGGGAAGGCATGGGGGGAAGGCATAGGGGGAAGGCATGGCGGGAAGGCAAGGGGGGAAGGCATAGGGGGAAGGCATGGCGGGAAGGCAAGGGGGGAAAGGCATGGGGGGAAGGCAAGGGGGGAAGGCATGGGGGGAAGGCATGGGGGGAAGGCATGGGGGGAAGGCAAGGGGGGAAGGCATGGGGTGAAGGCAATGGGGGAAGGCATGGGGGGAAGGCATGGGGGGAAGGCATGGGGGGAAGGCAAGGGGGGAAGGCATGGGGGGAAGGCATGGGGGGAAGGCAAGGGGGGAAGGCATGGGGTGAAGGCAAGGGGGGAAGGCATAGGGGGAAGGCATGGGGGGAAGGCATTGGGGGAAGGCATGGGGGGAAGGCATGGGGGGAAGGCAAGGGGGGAAGGCAAGGGGGGAAGGCATAGGGGGAAGGCATGGCGGGAAGGCAAGGGGGGAAAGGCATGGGGGGAAGGCAAGGGGGGAAGGCATGGCGGGAAGGCATGGGGGGAAGGCAAGGGGGGAAGGGATGGCGGGAAGGCAAGGGGGGAAGGCATGGGGTGAAGGCAATGGGGGAAGGCATGGGGGGAAGGCATGGGGGGAAGGCATGGGGGGAAGGCATGGGGGGAAGGCAAGGGGGGAAGGCATGGGGGGAAGGCATGGGGGGAAGGCAAGGGGGGAAGGCATGGGGGGAAGGCAAGGGGGGAAGGCATGGGGGGAAGGCATAGGGGGAAGGCATGGGGGGAAGGCATTGGGGGAAGGCATGGGGGGAAGGCATGGCGGGAAGGCAAGGGGGGAAGGCATGGGGGGAAGGCAAGGGGGGAAGGCATGGCGGGAAGGCAAGGGGGGAAGGCATGGGGTGAAGGCAAGGGGGGAAGGCAAGGGGGGAAGGCATGGGGGGAAGGCATTGGGGGAAGGCATGGGGGGAAGGCGTGGGGGGAAGGCATGGGGGGAAGGCATGGGGGGAAGGCAAGGGGGGAAGGCATGGGGGGAAGGCATGGGGGGAAGGCAAGGGGGGAAGGCATGGGGGGGAAGCATGGGGGGAAGGCAAGGGGGGAAGGCATGGGGGGAAGGCATGGGGGGAAGGCATGGGGGGAAGGGCAAGGGGCGGACCTGTCCGAGTTGGAAGCGCTGTGGCCCCTCCGCCACACAGACGTACGACCCCGTGCCCTCCTGCTTCACCATCACCTGCCATGGCGCTGCCCCATGCCCGGGGGGAGGGGCGTGTGAGGGGCGTGTGAGGATGCAGGAAAGAAACTGCATCATCACACGTTACACTCCTAGGCAGATACACATGGAATACACAACACACAACACACACAGACACATTGCAGCAAGCACACGGCCAGTGTCATTGCTGATGGACGGCCCATGGTGCAGGCAGGTGGGCTACGGTGCAGTGGGCGTGGCATGGCAGGGATGGCATGGCATGGGAGGGATGGGACGGCATGGGAGCACACCTGGGTACATTCTGAAGAGCGCCCCGCTGTAGTTGAGGATGAATGGCGACACGGCCACACTCTGACTCGGTTCAATGCATTCAGCACATGCCACGTCAGCAGTGCCATGCAAAGGGACATGGTGGGGGGTGAGAGAAGAAGGTTGGGACCAAAAACACAAGAGGAAGGAGAACGGGGGATGGCAGTGGGTGGTGTGAGGCATGCAGTGGGTGGTGTGAGGCATGCAGTGGGTGGTGTAAGGCATGCAGTGGGTGGTGTGAGGCATGCAGTGGGTGGTGTGAGGCATGCAGTGGGTGGTTGGAGTAGTCGCACACCTTGGAGTAGTGGCGCACCTTGGAGTAGTGGCGCACCTTGGAGTAGTGGCGCACCTTGGAGTAGTGGCGCACCTTGGAGTAGTGGCGCACCTTGGAGTAGTGGCGCACCTTGGAGTAGTGGCGCACCTTGGAGTAGTGGCGCACCTTGGAGTAGTGGCGCACCTTGGAGTAGTCGCGCACCTTGGAGTAGTGGCGCACCTTGGAGTAGTGGCGCACCTTGGAGTAGTGGCGCACCTTGGAGTAGTGGCGCACCTTGGAGTAGTGGCGCACCTTGGAGTAGTGGCGCACCTTGGAGTAGTCGCGCACCTTGGAGTAGTGGCGCACCTTGGAGTAGTGGCGCACCTTGGAGTAGTGGCGCACCTTGGAGTAGTGGCGCACCTTGGAGTAGTGGCGCACCTTGGAGTAGTGGCGCACCTTGCCCTTGGAGTAGTCGCGCACCTTGGAGTAGTGGCGCACCTTGGAGTAGTGGCGCACCTTGGAGTAGTCGCGCACCTTGGAGTAGTGGTGCACCTTGGAGTAGTCGCGCACCTTGGAGTAGTGGCGCACCTTGGAGTAGTGGCGCACCTTGGAGTAGTCGCGCACCTTGGAGTAGTGGCGCACCTTGGAGTAGTCGCGCACCTTGGAGTAGTCGCGCACCTTGGAGTAGTGGCGCACCTTGGATTAGTGGCGCACCTTGGAGTAGTGGCGCACCTTGGAGTAGTCGCGCACCTTGGAGTAGTGGCGCACCTTGGAGTAGTCGCGCACCTTGGAGTAGTCGCGCACCTTGGAGTAGTGGCGCACCTTGGATTAGTGGCGCACCTTAGAGTAGTCGCGCGGGCGCAGGTAGAAGACGGGGCGGAAGGTGGAGAGGAAGCGGTAGTGCAGGTCCTTGGGGGGGAAGCCCAGCAGCCCCAGGTCCGCCCTGATGGCCGTGGGGGGAGGAGGGGGCGCAGGGGTGAGGGAGGGCAGGGGGAGCAGGGGTGAGGGAGGGCAGGGGGAGCAGGGGTGAGGGAGGGCAGGGGGAGCAGGGGGTCAAGGGACGCAAGAGGGGGCAACGGATGCAAAGAGGGTAGCTGGGGTGGAAAAGAGGCAGCAGTGGAGAAGGGTGCAGTGGAGAAGGGTGCAGTGGAGAAGGGTGCAGTGGAGAAGGGTGCAGTGGAGACACATACACATGTACGTCCATTCAAACTGCCAGTTTTGCAATCACCTGAGCGTGTCGAGCTCTGTTGTAATCACCTGAGTGTGTCGAGATCTGTTGTAATCACCTGAGTGTGTCGAGCTCTGTTGTAATCACCTGAGCGTGTCGAGCTCTGTTGTAATCACCTGAGCGTTTCGAGCTCTGTTGTAATCACCTGAGCGTGTCGAGCTCTGTTGCAATCACCTGAGCGTGTCGAGCTCCAGGTTGAAGAGCAGCACCGGTGTGGCGGGGGGGAGCTTCTCCTGCCAGGGGGAGGTGGGGGAGGGTAGCAGTGGGGTGACGGAGGGGGACGGAGGGTGGGTGGGGAGTGAGAAGAGGCATGGAGGAAAGCGAAGAAGCAAGCAGCTAGATACCAATCCTGAGGCGTCCTTGCAAGGCGTCCTTGCAAGGCCGGGGTGGTAGGCGGACAGTAGATGGAAAAGTGGAACTTCAGTCTACAGGAATCAGCACCTATAAGCAGGAATGAAAAATTTGGCCACTCGTTTTGGTAACCTCCACGCACTAATGATTCTCCGTGTAGAAAGTGACATTGTCAAAAGGTGACTCAGATGTGTCCGTGGTGGATGCAGTGGGGGGCTGGTCAAACACGGCGGACGCATGTGCAGGGGGTGCAAAGAGCAGCGCATAGGTTGCCAGCCCACCACAAGAGTGGGGGTGAGCGGGAGTTGCTGGGTACGGTGGAGAACGTGGATGGGAGGGTGGAGAGAGGAGGTGGAGAGGGGAAGGGGGAGGGGCGAGGGGGGAGGGGCGAGGGGGGAGGGGCGAAGGGAGAGGGGCGAGGGGGGGAGAGCAGCGGCACTGACGAGGTAGGCCTGAACGGCGGGCAGCTCCTGGCAGCTGGCGTTGGCGATGATGTACAGATCCGACGGCGTTGCTGCCGCCCACTCGCCTGCCATGGCCGCCCCGGGGAAGAGGGCAAGCGGATGGCGGTTCAAGTGTGGAGAGGAGGTGGGAGTTGAAGGGAGAGGGAGAGAGCGGAAGGGACAGTGGGCGCAAAGCAGCTCACAGACTTTAAAATAGGCGAGGCAACGAGAGGAAGGCAGGGCGGGCAGAGGGAAGAGAGAGCAACAACAAGAGGGTCACGGAAGGGGGGAGTGCAGGTGCAGGGTTGCAGGGACGGGAGAGGAGTAGGTGAAAAAAAAGGCGCACGAACAGCATGTTCTTATCCCTCTCCCACCCCACACCATTCCTCCCTCCTCCCCCCCCCCCCCTCCTCTCTGTGCCACTGTCCCCATCACCCGTGCACGCGTGCACGCACCGGTCTCCTGCCCCCCGAAGTCAAGGTCCAGCGCGTTCTTCAGCGCCGAGAAGAAGCCGCCCCCTCCGCCCCCCCCCGCGCTGCCTGGTTGCGGCGCGCCCGCCTGCCCCGGTGCTGCCACGGGGTCGTCCTCCAAACACCCCAGCGACACCCCGTCCGTCTGCATGGGCCCCGCACCGCACGCGTGATGAGAGGAGTGAGTCACGACTCAACATCACATGGCATGGCATGGCATGGCATGGCCTGTCACTACTGAACCTGGATGGCTCTTCAGCTGATTGCGTTCTTACGTTTCCGTATGCTCCACCTGCACTGCACCGCACTTCATCTACACTCCTCTGATCATGCCGTTTCATCTCACCATGTCGTTTCATCTCGCCATGCCATTTCATCTCACCATGCCGTTTCTTCTCACCACGTCGTTTCATCTCGCCAAGCCGTTTCATCTCACCATGTCGTTTCATCTCGCCATGCCGTTTCATCTCACCATGCCGTTTCATCTCACCATGTCGTTTCATCTCACCATGCGGTTTCATCTCACCATGCCGTTTCATCTCGCCTGCCGTTTCATCTCACCATGTCGTTTCATCTCACCATGCTGTTTCATCTCGCCATGCTGTTTCATCTCGCATTGCCGTTTCATCTCACGTTGCCGTTTCATCTCACCATGTCGCTTCACCTCACCATGTCGTTTCATCTCACCCTGCCATGTCGTTTCATCTCACCCTGCCATGTCGTTTCATCTCACCCTGCCATGTCGTTTCATCTCACCCTGCCATGTCGTTTCATCTCACCCTGCCATGTCGTTTCATCTCACCATGTCCAGAGCAGCTTTGAAGCGGCGGGAGCAGCGGCGCTTCTCGGGCCCGTCGGGAAGCACCTGAGGGGCGACGGGTGAAGGAGCGGAGAGGGGAGTTGGGGAGATGAGCGGAGAGGGGGGTAGGGGAGATGAGCGGGGAGGGGGGTAGGGGAGATGAGCGGAGAGTGGGGTAGGGGAGATGAGCGGGGAGGGGGGTAGGGGAGATGAGCGGAGAGTGGGGTAGCGGAGATGAGCGGGGAGGAGTGAGCTGGGGGATACAGGCACAAGGGGGACGAGGTGCAGAGGATGGGAGACGCAGGGGGGATGATGCAGCAGCGACGCACATGGCAGGGCGTGCAGGCGGGCGGGCAGGGCTCACGATCTTGGCGGTGGTGGCGGTGGCGCCGTGCAGCCTGCGCACGAGAGCGAGGGCGAGCTGGATGTTGGCCTCTATGTACTCCTCCGATGACCCCTGCCATGCCGTGCCGTGCCGTGCCGTGCCGTGCCGTGCCGTGCCGTGCCGTGCCGTGCCGTGCCGTGCCGTGCCACACCCGGAGGGGGGTTGGGGGGGGTGGAGATGGGCGACAAGGGAGGGAGCGAATGAGGGGCAGGGCCGTGGAGGTGTGTGGCAGCAGAGAGGGAGGGGGGAGTAGAGGGGGGAGGTGGGAAGGAGGGCCCTGTTCCATAGCAGGGGTAACTGGTCTGCTTTGGCCAGGGAGTGGATGGATTTTGGCGGGAAACCAGGCTCGGACAGGGGAAATCGCAGAGCGACCCCTATGCGACCGAGCCCGGACCACCTTCGGATGCTCGGAATCTCCGACCGGGTTTAGGCCCATTACTCCCCACTGTACAGTGAACCACAGGCAAAATCGCCCCCTCACTGCTGAAAACCTTCTCCAGCAGTCAGAGCACGGGTCTGTAAAACAAAAGGGTAGACCAATGGGCAGATCGGCCAATCGCACACTCACAAGGCCCTGACCAGGGCTATTTTTGTGTTTTTCATCTCCAATGAAGGGTCTTTGTTTTCTCGGTTGAGGTGGGTGATTGGTTTTGATGTGTTCTCCTGCTAGTGTACGAGCATTTCATCCCCGGTTCATCTGGACCGGCAGAATGAAACGCCTTTCCGTTTTTAGTTGCGTCGGGTTCGGGATGAAACGCACCGAACCAGACTCCCCCGTTCCCATGCCGTTAGGCTATCGAACAGGGCCGAGGTGTGGGGTTGGGGTGGTGCGAACACGCGTGTGGTAGGGAGAAATGTAGCACGGCGGGGTTCAAAGGCAGCGTGCCGTAGGTGCGATGAGAGGAGCAGCGAGGCGAGGAAGCAGGGCGAGGGAAGGCAGAAGCGAGGAAGGAAACACGATGAGCAGAGGGTTGAGAAAGAGTGAATGAGAGTTAGGAAAAGGAGCGACAGTAGTAGGAGGAGAAGGAGGAATGAGGATTGGGACAGGATGAACGGGAAGAGAGTGGTGAGGGAGGGGAAGCGAGGAGGGGTTGGGAGGAGAGGGAGAAGGCGGAGGGCATGGCAGCAGGGCTTCACCTCGTAGCCGGCCTTTCCACTCGGCAGTGGGCTGGTGTCATGCTCCCATGTGCATGCACACACATACATGCACACACATACATGCACACACATACATGCACACATGCACACACATACATGCACACACATACATGCACACATGCACACACATACATGCACACATGCACACACATACATGCACACACATACATGCACACACATACATGCACACACATACATGCACACATGCACACACATACATGCACACACATACATGCACACATGCATGCACACATGCATGCACACATGCATGCACACACATGCATGCACACATGCACACACATGCACACACATGCACAAACACGCACACATGCTCGTACGCACACACACACACACACACACACACATGCATACACACACACATGCACACACACACACACATGCACACACACGCACACATGCACACGCACACATGCATACACACATACATGCACACACACGCACTCATGCACTCACACGCACACACACGCACACGTGCACACACGCACGCACACACATGCACACACACACACACACACACACACACACACACACACAAGCGCACAGACACACAGGGGTTTGCATGAGGGTGATGGGAGAGCGGGTGATGGGAGAGCGGGTGATGGGAGAGCGGGTGATGGGAGAGCGGGTGATGGGAGAGAGGGTGATGGGAGAGCGGGTGATGGGAGAGCGGGTGATGGGAGAGAGGGTGATGGGAGAGCGGGTGATGGGAGAGCGGGTGATGGGAGAGCGGGGCAAATGGGGTTGGGAGCAGAAAGAGAGAGACGAATGGGGACGAGCAACGGTGCCACTCAATGTGGTGCGTGTGGTGGGGCGGGTGGTGGTGATGTCATGGAACATGGTGGTGATGCCATGGAACATGGTGGTGATGTCATGGAACATGGTGGTGATGCCATGGAACATGGTGGTGATGTCATGGAACATGGTGGGAAAGGGGTGGCGGGCGGGTGAGCAGCGAGAGGTGGAGGGGGTGGGGTGGGCGGGGGACTGACGGGAAGTCGACTTCGATGCGCGTGAGGCCGTCCGCCAACGCCGACTGCACGGCGCGAGATGCGTCTGGCGGGGGACGGGCGCAACGGGGGATGCGGGAGGTGGGCGCGGGTGAGGTTGCAGAAGCGGATTCCCACGTTGGAGAGGGGTAACAGAGGTGGAGGGGAACAAGCAGCGAGGCGCAGTGAGCCATGGCGGGGAGTGGCCTCGCACATGGCGGGGAGTGGCCGCGCACATGGCGGGGAGTGGCCGCGCACATGGCGGGGAGTGGCCTCGCACATGGCGGCACATCACACCACGGAGGGCGCAGCATGCGAGGGCGGACGTCACACGTTACAGGGTTACCACACGCGTCCGGTGGCCCTCGGTTCGAGCATTCGAGCTAACCGCGACCGCATTGGAGGAGGCGTTGCGGCCACGCGCCACGGTGATGCGCCACGCAGGGGCGATGGGCGGCGGCTGTACTGAAATCGATAGCGTGACCGTCGCACAATTTGTTCGCCCAAAAATATCCCGTGTATTTTACGTACTCGATACAGACTGAAATGTACGTAGCACTAGCGCACTAAGAGCAGACTCGAAACGCAGGTAAGGTCAGCATCGTCTCAAAGCGTCGGCGCAGGATTCTTCTCGGCGGGGGTCGCACGGACCTGCGACGAGCTCGTCGTACGACCGCGGCTTGTACTCCGCCACGCCCGCCGCCGGATCCGCTTCTGCCGCCGCCGCCGCGCGCACGACTCGTGCTGCATTCGCGCTACTGCGCGACTCGTTGCGACGAACCAGCGAGGCATTCTTTGTCAAGCGCGCTCTCCGCGTTGGAAGGGCGCGCGCCGGCAACGCCTTGTCGCTGCTGCTCCCCCCCAGTTGCGCTTGGCGCGCTTGCAGCCCGGCGCTGGAGTGTGCGACGGTAACGGCGTGCGCCATCACGGCAGGCGATGCGGCTCGCACGGCGCGGAGAAACAACGCCGACTGGCTCGCTGGCAGCCGCGAAAGATTGGTGGCGATGATGATTGATCGCTGGGGAGAATGCATATGCGACGGAGCTGCCTTTGTTGGGCCAGGCAGCGGTGAATCGACGTTGGTGCGACGCAATCGAGGCAGGGGCAGGAACCTGGAGCTCGTGACGTGGCGCTTGACGTGGTGAAATTGGAGAGACTGACAGGTGGCACGTGGAGGCTGTAGGCGAAGTGGCAGAATTGTTCAAAGTCGCGAACGTAACGAGTCTCGACCCATCAATCGATGGCGTATCTGTTCGAGCCCTCGCCGGTCGTTGGCGATGTGCCACGCCCTAAAGAAGTTCAGGGCTCGAATGTGCACCATACTGAAAACAGACTGTATGTTACCGAAACGTTGTACCACATCCCCCCAAATTGGAGTGTGTTGCAACACTTCATGGGAAGACACCACCAACACAAGTCTGTACAGTCGCAATGCAAACAATAAAAGAGGAACGATTTCGTAAGCACCAATCACATCCGCATGCGGCTTGGAATACCGTCAATTCACGACTATTTGTTTTCGCTTTCGTGCTCATAAACCATTCGGATCATCGACCAGAAACCAGACACTGCTCAACTTCTCTCACGCCAAGCCGAACCGAAGTTCACGCCCTAAACTTCCAACCTAACAGAATATCAAACCAAATCCGCAGAACCTATTTCTCATACCTATCTCCACATCTACCCGCGCCAGTCCCCCATTTCAGCCGTGCCCGCGTCAACCGTCTCGTACGTAGACCGCCGTTCGTCTGTGACCTGTCCTCTCAGCAGAGGGGGCTGAACTCGCGTGCCGTCACTTGCTGCGCGCCGATCGCACTCTCGCTGGTCCGCCATGGCACACGCGGCTCGCATCGCGCGGCAGGCCGTGCAGGCCGCGACGAGCGCGCGCGTGCGATTCTCCACGGAGGCGGCGAAAGCCTCGCGCGAGACGCTGGTGAGACGAGGGGCGGGTGAGGCGAGCAGCGAGTGAGCCCCACACCGAGCTGAGCGTAGCCGTCGATCTTACCGCGTCTCGCCTTGTGGGCGGTCGTCGATCTTTTCCATGCTGCCATCTCCCTCCCACTGCTGTAGCCCCCCCTGGCCGCGCGGTCCACCTTGGGTGCGCGAGGTGCACGACGCGAGGCGCGCTTGCCGCTCCACACTTGTCCACCTCAGCCGCATTATTTAGCGTTCTGCGCTCGGAAACCGCCCTCCGTCTTGGCATCTCGCTCGCTGGCCGCCCGTCACAAAGCCCCATCGCTGTCGTGCCATTGTCCCCCCTCCCGCCGCCTGCCCTCTTCCTCTCTCCCCGACGCTCGTCCGTCCCTTCCCCCCCCCACCTCCCCCCGTCCCCAGCTGGTGGAGGACGACGCGGCGCTGCGCAAGTACAACCCGCAGAAGGCCGCCATGGCCGCCTGCAACACCGTTGGTAACGCCGTCACGGCGCTCGTGCTCGCAGGTACTGCACCGTGATGACGTGGCAGCAGCCCTCAGCACGTGGCTGCCTGATCACGTGGCAGGCCGATTTGATATTCATGCTTGTCGTGCCGGGTGCGAGCATCATTCGCCGGCCTATGAGCTTGTCTCTGCAGGTCATTGCAAGCTTGCATTGCAGCAAGAGCACCGGCATTGAGAAACGCATCCCACCGCACAGCGTTTGTTGCTGGCGTGAATCGCCAGTGCTGTGCGTGCCGCCTTCCATGCTGTGCTGCCACGTGCCATCTCCCACTCCCTCACACTCGTGTGCCCCTCCCTCCCTTCAACCCTCCCTCCCTCCCTCCCTCCCTCCCTCCCTCCCTCCCTCCCTCCCTCCCTCCCTCCCTCCCTCCTCCCTGCGTGCATGCATGGCAGCGGCAGCCGTGGACCTGTCGTACCGCGTCATGAACGCGCGCACGGACCAGTGAGCCTGCCTGCGCTGCGCCACCTGAGGCCGTGCCACACGGCAGGTGCGGCACGGTGGTGATGCCCCCTGCATGGGCTGTGTGGCCGTGCCGTGCCATGCCAGGCCATGCCATGCCATATGCACTGTGATTGCAACAAGACTTGTGGTGGCATGCATTACGAGGCACAGGGCCGTCCTCCACTCACTACCTCTCGTCATGTGCCTCCTTGCACTGCCACCTCATGCCCCACTGCCTTCCCCGCTTCCCTAACCATTCATCCACTCCACCCCGCCTGCTACCCATCCGCCCCTGGCTTCTCCCCCTCGCACTCTTCCCACCTACCATGTCACCTCGAAGCCAACTGAGCTGGGCATGCGTCCATCACCATCACCCGCATCGCCATGCTTGCCTCCACCACTACCATGCTCTCAACTCCACTGGCTCATACAATCACCAGCTAATTTCTGTGTATGGCTAGGATTTCTGGAATGTTGGCTGTGTACAGCAGTGTACCAATCAAAACTGGGTTTAAAAGCATGTAGTAAGGAAAGTTGAAATGGCATCAGCAAATTGTGAAACGGAATATACAGGTTTGCTACCCAACAGAAGAAGAAAACCTCTACGTATTATGCAGCACGCTCTAAACCGAACATGTCCTTTAGTTCAATCCCAGCTGCAGCCTACGATTGGTCTGTCAAGGCAATCCGGTTTCAGCCAGGCAGTCAGCTGAAACAGAAGAGCTTCATTTCAGAGGGCGGCGGTTTCAATGAGTCAGGCGCGCTGTCGCGACGAGGTCCGTGCGAGCTGCGATGCGGAAGGCGGTGGTGACGAAGAGGGCTCTATACGCTGCGAAAATGTGATCTCGTCGCGCCAGCTTCTTGCGTTCCTTCGTAGTTGTTCCACGCCGTTGGCGAGCTCTGGCGAAATTGTTGGCGAAAGCGCGGAGAAGGAGAGGCGAAGAATGGTTGAGGCGTTTCTTGGCGCGCGAGAGGCGCGGGCGAGCGTTACGAGACGCACGCGTGCTACCGAGGAATCGCGGATGAACCGGATAGTAAACTCGCAGCACGGACAGAATGGAGGCGGGAGAGGCGGGTACCCGTGTGAGTGGGGTGGTAGTGCGGGTGCGGGTGGTGACGCGGAATGGCTCGGTGGTCGCAGCAGCGACGAGGAGGCGAGCAGCGGCGGCGAGGAGGCGCGCGACGAGGCGCAGCTGGGCGAGCTGCTCCCCGTGGCCGGCGCCGAGTGGCTCGCGGACGCGCCGCACGCGGAAGTCGCGCAGGCGGAAACTGGTGAGGCGAATACTAGGCAGGCGGTAACGGGTCAGGCGGAAAGCAGGGAGGCGGAAACGGGGCAGGTGGAAACGAGGGGAGCGGAAACTATGGGGGCGGAAACGAGGGGAGCGGAAATGAGGGGGGCGGAAACGAGGGGGGCGGAAACGAGAGGGGGGGAGGTGGAGAGGGAAAGGGCGGAGCAGGCGCAAGGAGCGAGTGGAGCTGCTGACGCCCATGGCGCGCCGTCGGCACTGGCGACGCCGCACCCTGCACGTGCTCCCGCTGGTGCCACCGCGGCACGCGAGGCGCGCACAGCGCCCGCGCAAGTGGAGGCGACTGGCGGAGGGGCGGGGCTGTCGCTGCCTGGCGTGAACGCGCTCGCTGCAGCTCGGGAAGGGGAAGAGGAAGAGGAACGGGGGGCAGGGGAAGGAGAAGGGGAAAGGAGGGAAGGGAAAGGGGAAGAGAAGAAAGGGGAAGAAAAAAAAGTGGAAGGGGAAGGAGAGGAAGGGGAGGGAGAGGGAGGAGAGAAAGGTGAAGGAGAGGGAGGGGAAGGGGAGAAGGCGGGTGGAAATGACGAGGGGCGGGGCGAGCAGCGCGCAGGCAGTGAGGGCGAGACGGGGCTCCGCGCGCGCCACCTGCTGGCGCTGCTCAAGGCGGCCGCTGCTGCTGGCGGGCGCTGTTGGCTGCCCGTGAGGTGCGCTGGCGAGGCGGGTGACAGCGACAGCACGGGGCAGGGCGGAGGAGGGGAGAGCGAGCAGGGGCGGCGGGTGGTGGCGGCGTTCCTGCGCGCGCGCGAGGCGGGCGCAGTGGTGGCGCGGGGGAGGGCGGGGCGAAGCGAGGAGAGGGCGCGGAGGAGGCGGAGGCGCGCAGGAAGGGGTGGGCGCGTGGGGAGGGGGCGCTGGCCGGGGGAAAGGGGCGCGAGGCGAGATGGCGGAGCAGGCAGGGGAGGGGACGTGGAAGCGGGGAATGGAGTGGTTGAAGGCGACGAGGGGCGGCGAGAAGGGGGTGCGCGCATGGATGAGGAGACGGGCCATGGTGGCGATGATAATGAGGGGGGCAGCAGCGACGGCGGCGAGTGCAGCGACGGGCTGGAGGAGCTGCTGGCCGTGGCGGGGTTCGACCGCTGCGAGGACGCCCAGGTGGCGGGGGAGCAGGATGGAGAGGCGAGCCGTGTTGCAGCGAGCATGGTGGCGGTGCTGCCCCGGCTGGCCCGCGTGCAGCACCGAGCTGAGTGGGCACACGACTCGGTGAGTGGCGTGACCGAAAAGCATGTGTGTGTTGCACTGCACGTCACACACTGGCCTCTTTCATGCATCCCCACTCTCAACTATCCCCAACACCCCATCATCATGCCCAAAATCCCTCTTTGCATGCTCCAACCCCCTCCCACGGCCCCCCCTTCCCCCTTCCTTCCGGGTGACGCTTGCTGTCGCCACTCCCCGTCAGGCATGCGCCCTCCTTTCCGCCACCTACATCGCTCCCCATGCCTCTGCGCCTGCTGGCGCGGCGAGGGGGCAGGGAGAGCGTGCGGATGCACTCGTGCTGCGCCGCCGCGACCGGCAGGCCAGCGAGTTGCGGCGGAGGAGCAGGCTGGCCGCGGCAGCTGAGGCTGCAGCGGCGGCACGGAGGGCGGCGGGCGGTGCGGCGCACTCACGTGACGGACTGAGAGAGAGACGGCTGCGAGAGCGGGAGGAGAGGGTGCGGAGGCGAGCAGGGGGACAGGGAGGGGAGAAGAAGGCGGCGCTTGATGCGCGTGGCAGGGCGATGGATGCGCGTGGCAGGGCGATGGATGCAGGTGCGGAGGAGGGCGGCATGGGGTTGGCAGGCGAAGGCGGCAGGCGCGGTGTGACGCGTGCGGGCGCACTGCATGGTGGGCGCATGCACTGGCGTGAGCGACAGCGCGGACAGGGAGGGGCGGAGGGTGGTCAGGGTGTGAGGCGGACAAGAGGCAGAGAGAATGGGATTGTGCGGGTGATTGAGCAAGTGGTGAGGGAAGAGGCGGGGGTGAGTGAGAGCGAGTCCGATGGGCTGGAGGGGGAGATGAAGGAAGAGGTGGAGGAGGGAAGAAAGAGATTGAGGCAATGGGGGAGTGAGGGCGGTGGGGGGAGGACGAGACAGGAGCGGAAAGGGCGAGGTGGTGTGAGGGGAAGAAGGGCAGATGAGCGAGCAGGTGTGGAGGGCTGCAGGGACGTGGAGAGCGTGAGTGAGGCAGGGAGTGGTGGAGAGGAGAGGGTTGGCAGGAAGGGAACACTAGGAGATACGGGTAGTGAGAAGGGACGGGTAAGTGAGGAGAGGGGAAGAGCGGAGAGAAGTGAGGAGGAGCGGGTGAGAGATGGAGATGTGAGGGGCAGGCCCGTTGACTCGGGGTCGCGTCCTCCCCGGCAGCCCGTGAGGGATGTGGCAGGCAAGTTCGCTCCATGCAGTGGGGTGGAGGAGACGGGAGGGAGGAAGAAGCGAAGGAGAGGCGACGACGAGGAACGAGGTGCGGACGTGGAAGGCGGAGTGGGAGTGCAGCGAGGAGAGGTGCAGGGGAGTGGTGGTGGTGAGGGGGGCGTGCACATGCAGGGCGCAGAGCGGGTAGAGAGGAGAGGCGCAGAGCGGGTAGAGAGGAGAGGCGTGGGAGTCCCTGTGACTCCCCAACAGGTGGAGGGGAAGCGACGCAGAGTGGTTGTGGCAGCAGCGGTAAGACCACCAGCACAACCTGCACAAGCACCACCAGTAGTAGCAGCGAGAACAGAGTCTGCAGCAGCAGCAGCACCAGCAGCAGCAGCAGCACCACCACCAACAGCAGCAGCACCAGCAGCAGCTGCACCAACACCATCAGCAGCAGCAGCTGCAGCAGTGGCAGCAACACCACCACCAGCGGCAGCAGTGGCAGAGGGTGAGGCAGCAGCAGGGGTGGCAGTGGGAAGTGGTGGTGGCGGTGCAGCGGAGGCGGGCTCGTCCCTGCGGGCCACGGTGCGGGGGGGGCTGCGGGCCATGGGGCTGTATGAGGGCAAGCGCGGCATCAAGGAGGAGCTGCGACGCCAGCAGAGGGGCGTGGCAGCCAGTGCCATGCGCGCCGTGCAGGAGAGCCGAAGGGAGGAGGAGCGCGCAGTGCGGGCCATGCGCGCCGTGGAAGCGGCGCAGGTGGTTCGGGTGGCGGCGGTGCAGGCGGCCTGTGACGCGCGCATCAACGCCTTCATGCACCAGCTGTTCCGAGACATTAGCGCTCTGTGACCCGTGCTGCTGTGACGGCGCTGGTGCAGCGTGTGGAACGTTGAGTGAGAATGCGGTAGTGTGTTTGAGGAACATCTTTGAATTGGACTGCGGTTATAATGGCACTAGCATTTAGAAGGCTAAAATGCAATGCAGCAGGCATCATGACCCAACCTCACGAGCCACTGGTTGTGTGATGCTTAGACTGGACTCTTGGGAGGAATGTTGCTCCGTTAGTCAACATACAACACCTCAACGAGTTACAGCCCGCGAGTTGTGCTTCTTGAGGAGCGCGGCGCGCCGTGCGGGCCATGCGGGCAGCAGAGGCGGCAGAGGTGGCGCGGGTGGAGGCGGTGCAGGCGGAGTGTGACGCGCGCATCAACGCCTTCATGCACCAGCTGTTCCGAGACATGAGCGCGCGGTGAGGTGAGGTGACTCGTGCACGCGAGAGGGCGCTGGAGTAGCAGGCGGAAGTACCGGATTGAGGATTGAGAATTGACGTCATGTGTGTAAGCCCTGGCAGTGCAGTGCTCCAAGTTACAGTGCAACAAGGTTGGACTGTTACTATTTTAAGATGCCCCCATCGTTCTGGTAATCTTCCATCCATGCTTGCGTTGCTGGGCTTCCACCCATTTAACTGTAAAACTGCTAGTGCTGTGTGGGTGATGAGTCTCTAGCTGCGGAACTTGTAGGGACGGACCATCAACATGTTGATAATAGCCTCTCTTGGTCAACATAGACAGCCTTAACATTATTACAACTGCGAATCTTGCTTCTTGAATGAACCAGTTACCGTATGTACATGTGGGACAGTGCAAGCGTGGCTGCACTACGTCCACCAAAGCTAGCAGAAGCTGGACGCAGGGCAGAAGAAGTGAGGCCATGCTATGGTATGCCATGCTTAGGCTGTGTTCATGCATGGAGTGCACAAGCCTTGATCAGCAATGTCAGCATGTACGAATGCACGCATGCGCACAACACAACACAAGCCCGCTACTCCAGGGAACCATGGCAGGCCACCACACCACCCTTGCACCGCAGGTAGCGTTGCCGCAGGAGGGGGGCGGCAGCCTGTTGCTGTAGGTGGAGGTGCGGCACGAGGGCAGTCCGAGAAGGGTTTGCAGTACAGGGCGGAGGCAGTAAGGGGGACGAGGAGCGGCAAAGCCTGTCAGAGGGGGGTTGCGGGAAAGCCTGTAGCGGGGGCAGCAGGGGAATAGCCGAACACGGGGCGCTGGCACCTCTGTGGAGGGCGGGGGGGGGGGTGGGGGGGGGGGAGTGGGGGTTGACGCGGATATATGCAGGGGAAACGTGGGCGCACTTGCATCTGTGTGCGCGCAAGCATGCGTGAGTAAGTGCATGTGAGTGTGGGTGCGTGAGTGGTGGAGTTTGCAAGGGGTGCCTGCCACCCGTCACGCAACTGCGAAATGCATGAGAGCGGCAGGCGAGGGGACTGTGGCAGGCAAAGGGACGTGGAAGATGTGCCGTGACTAAAGAGCGCGATAGCAGAGGCGAGAGTGACAGCGACAGAAGCCGTACCTCGTGAAGCTGCGGGATGCAGCACGGCAGGCAGACGAGCGGCCAGCAGAAGAGCAACAACAAGATGGTCGCCACCCACCCCGTCTGGCGGGGAAAAGGTTGGGGGGGGGGGGGGGGGGGGGAGAGGGAAAGGAAGGAAGCGCGGTGAAAATCATTAGGTGGGCGAGCGGATGGGGAAGGAGGCAGGTGGTGGTGCGACGAAGACGATGTCTGTCGTCCACTCTTACAACCGCGCTGCGAGCTTGTGGACACGCCATCAAACTATTAAACGACTGAAACGACTAAATCGCACGAAATACTTCATTCTACGACATGAGCAAGTGACGGCGAGCGGGGGAAGCGCGACTCACGGGCGGCGCGCAGGTCTCGTAGCCCAGCGGCAGCATGTAGAGCCCGGGGATGGGCGCCGGCGAGAACACGGGGAACTCGCCGCCGCTCGCCCCGTGCGCCATCACCACCACGGCGGACGGATAGCCCGCGGGAGGGGGGAGCTGCGGCGGATACGCCCCGCGCGCGGGGGGGTGGTGCGGGTGGTGGGTGTACTGAAAGGCGGGCTGGCCGGCGGCTGGCGCGTGGCTCGCGGCGGCATCTGAGCTGCCGTGCGGGGGAGGTTCGGACGACTCGCTGCCGGGCTTGAGCGGCGTGGAGTCCGACGGACCTGCGAGGCAACGCACACGAGAGAGGACGGACGCGAACCGTTAGCGCGACGAAGTTGTCCCGCTTCACAAGAGACAGAAGAGCGCGATGATAAGTGGCGATGCATCACGCGGATAGCTGGCGACGGCTGTTGGCCTACCTTCGGAGACGAACACCATGTTGACTCGATCAACCGACCCGCGACTCGAGGTATAGGAAAACGCGCGCAAGAAGGTAAGACCGTTGGACGGTTGGGGTGTGAAAACAGCAAGAACGTCAGAGATAGCGGCTGGATGCACAGCGAGGTAGTATTTCAAATTTGCTACGCGTCTGTCAGAGATATTTGATTAATCCGCTAGCTACTAATGTACAACATATACACAAGCAGTCACTACTCAGTACTAGGAACGCCTCTCGCTATGATTCTGCGAAATCCCCAGGTCGGGATGAAGGTGGTCTGTTGGCGTCAGACTGCCGCCATGCTGGCGTGAGCGTTGCATGCATCCAGGCAGAAGCATGGGCCGCGATTGGCGGAATGGCGACAGATGAGCGAGTTTGCGCGCCGCAGCTGGTGCCGCGAAAGGCACTGGAAGTCGACGGGGGAGCGGAGATGGGGTGAGCGGGGGAGAGCGGCTTGAGGAGAGCGCGCAATTGGGCTGAAGGCGCACGGCAGGAGCATGCAGGGGCGTTGCTTGCTGTGCACGTTGCGATATTCGCTGTAACAGTAAGTGTGAGGGCACCGAAATGTCAACAACAAGAGCGAGTACAACATTCTATCTGTAAGGAATTTTCTCAACATTCCTTACCGCGACTGTCAACATCGCGTACAACAGCAGCCGTTGTTCGCCCGTTACTGCTAACGGGGCTTCGCCAACTTCGCGCGCACTGTTTCACCAAACCTCGCACCGCTGGACCAACCGAGTCGGCCCACCCACGCTTCGGGGCTAGTCCGTCTTAAGATACCTAGGCAAGTGTGATTGTATTAGGTCAAGATGGGTACAAGACTAGAAAGTCGAGGGAAAAGCTGTAACCCCTAAAACTAGCCCCTATACAGCCTAACTAAACATTAAGCATATAGTTTGACACACCCCTATAGGCGAAATAGGGGATAGCCAGAACAAGGGCAATGGTCACAAGACCAGTCAAGAGAAGGAACAAAGCACAGCTCAGGGTGGATCACAAAGTCACCACACACTCTGAGCACAAACAAGAGGCCACAAGGCCAGTTCACATGCAGAAGCATAAAAGCACAAGCAATACAGTGATCACAACCTAGCAGGTATAAGCATGCAGGTATATATATAGATCACAGTACACGTAAAGCCTACAGTAAGTGAGGAAACGTAGGCACAAGGCCCAACAAGGTACAAAAGCGCTGATGATCACCAGGCGGAAGTGCCTTGGTGAATATATCAGCAGTGCTGGCCCGAGTGGCCACGTAAGCAAGACGAAGCTGACCAAGCTGCTGCAACTCTCGAGCCAGGAAGTAACGCAGAGCGATATGCTTCGTTCTGTGCTCCAGTCTGTGCTCCTGACACAAAGCAATGGCGGCCTTGTTGTCGACGTACAGCACTGGAGGAGAACGAGGCCGCTCTCCCAGGTCGGTCAGCAGGTAGGTGAGCCAGCGTAACTCCTGTGCAGCCATGGCTGTGGCGTAGATCTCAGCCTCACAACTGGAGACGAGAACGGAAGACGAGCGTGTAGAACGCCAAGAAACAGAGCCAGAGCCAAGGCTGAAGGTGTAACCCTGTGACGACCGCTGTGTAGCCTGGTCGTCAACCCAAGAAGCGTCCGAGTGACCAGTGAGGACAACGTCGTCCCGTCCTCCAAGCACAAGCCCCATGCCCGATGTACTGCACAAGTAGCGTAGTACCCTCTTAGCAGCATCCATGTGCACCTTGCGGTGCCGACCAGGAGCCACGTAGCGAGCCAGAAGGCCAAGAGGGTACGCAAGGTCAAGACGAGTGCAAGTCATCAGGTACATGAGGCAGCAAACTAGCTCTGGGTAAGGACCACTCGGCTCTACGGACTCGTCCGAAGGTGGAGCTGAGAGCGAGTGACCTGTAGCCAGAGGAGTGGCCTGTGCTGAGGACCAGGTGAAGTTGAAGCGCTGAAGGACCTGCTGCACCATGTGTGACTGAGTCAGGGTGATGGTGCGGCGTGCTCTGTCCCGGGTGATCTGCAAGCCAAGGTAGCTGCGGAGCTCACCCAGGTCTGTGCACGTGTGTCTCTTCTGCAGCTCCGACTTCACCAGGGCGAGAGCCTCAGTGTCAGCAGTGGCAAAGACCAAGTCGTCGACGTACACGAGGATGTAGAACGGCGGCAGCGAAGTGTCGGTGCGAAGAAACAGCGACGGGTCAGCAGTCGACGGAGCAAACCCAAGAGCCGCTAGTGTAGTCCTCAGTGTGTCGTGCCACTCACGCGGCGCCTGGCGGAGACCGTAGACCGGCCGCCGGAGACTCCACTGGGTTCCAGGAGGGAACGACCCAGTGAAGCCAGGCGGGCGGCGCAACCAGATCTCCTCGTGCAGGCTGCCCTGCAAGAAAGCTGTGCTGAAGTCAAGAGAGTGAAGCTCGTAGTCACGCTGAGCAGCAACGTGCAGCAGCACCCGAAGAGTGGTCGTCTTCGGGGTGGGGGAGAAGGTCTGGAAGAAGTCAACTCCCTCTCGCTGACTGAAGCCTCGAGCAACGTAACGAGCCTTGAAGACAGGCGGAGAACCTGGCGGCCGCTTCACCCTGAAAATCCACATGCCACTGACGATGTTCGCCCCAGGAGGGGGAACCTCGTCGACGTAGGTGCCTGTGGACTTCCAGGATGCCATCTCTGCATCCATGGCTGTCTGCCACTGAGAGGAGTACTCACCCGCGATCGCCTCAGCGTAAGAGCGCGGGGTCGGGATGTCTGGAGCATCCGGGTCTCCCTCAGGGGCAAGCAGCATGGACACGAGATGAGCCGCAGCGGCTGCAAGACACTCAAGGTCCTCCTGCCTGTCCTCAAGGACGTCCGTGCCAAGAGCACACTCACCCCCGACGGACGGAGGACAGACAGACTCAGACTCAGCAACAAGACTAGCGGCGTAGTCTAGACGACAGGCAGCAGCAAAGTCAACAAGCTCAGCTACTAGGGCAGACGCAGCAGTGGACTCAAACGACGGGTCAGTGACAACAGTGGCTAACAGACGCGTGACCGTAGGGTGCTCAGTACGGAACTGGTCAGACTCAGGGTCGGCAGCGACAGGCAGAGAGGACTCCGGAGGGGACGGCAAAGGAACACAAGGCGAAGAAGAGGAAAGACGACGGACTACAAGGTGGGTGCCTGAAACAGCCGGCTGACGCTGACGAGGAACACGACGACCAGAACGACCAGAACGGACAGGCGAGACAGGACGCGACGCAGGCTCACGACGCTCAGCAAGACCTTCTGACTGCTCAGTGTAAGGAGAAGGAGCAGGCAAGGGTGAGCCAGGCTGTAACAGAAGACCAGTAGACGACGGGAGGCTAAGAACCTGGCGAAGCACGGAGGCAGGCGGTGGCAGAGACGACGGAGAAGGCGGAGCAAAGAACAGGCGTGGCTGCGCAGCGCCACCAGCACCAGCGGCCCCAGCTCCCTCAGCAGCTCCAGCACCCTCAGCAGCTCCAGTACCTCCAGCAGCTCCAGCACCCTCAGCAGCTCCAACACCCTCAGCAGCTCCAGCTCCCTCAGCAGCTCCAGCACCCTCAGCAGCTCCAGCACCCTCAGCAGCTCCAGCACCCTCAGCAGAAGCACCCCCAGAACCAGGGTCACCAGCCTCAGTGTCTACAGCAGCAGCACCCCCAGCCCCAGCAGCTCCAGTACCTCCAGTACGAGCACCTCCGGGGCCAGCACCACTCCCAGCTCCAGTGACGGCAGTAGAAGTACCTCCAGGAGCAGAGCCCCGAGCTCCAGAAGCGCGACCCTGACGGCGACCGTACCAGTCGTGCAGCTGCTGTGAGGTGAGAGGCACACGCGCACGAAGACGGCTACTCCAAGGAGACCGCTGAGCAGCAGTCCCAGCACCCCCAGACTCAGCACCCCCAGGCTCCACACACGCAGGCTCAGCACCCCCAGGCTCAGCACCCCCAGGCTCCTCACGCTCAGACTCCGCATCCCCAGGCTCAGCACCCCCAGGCTCCTCACACGCAGGCTCAGCACCCCCAGGCTCAGCACCCCCAGGCTCCTCATGCTCAGACTCCGCACCCCCAGGCTCAGCACCCCCAGGCTCCTCACGCTCAGGCTCCGCACCCCCAGGCTCAGCACCCCCAGAGACAGCACCCCGAGCAGGACCACCCCCAACAGGACCTGAGTCACCAGTGACCTCAACAGGCGCAGGCACGGGAGGGTCTACCTGAGAAACACCTGAAGGAGCAGGACCTGGCGCGGGGAGGGGGTCTACCTGGGGAGGACCTGGAGCGAGAAAGAGCGGCGGGGGGGGGCGAGGAGTAGTGCGGTAGAGAAAGAGACGATAAAAGGGGACGGACTCGTCAAAGGTGACGTCCTGAGATGCAAAGACACGGCGCGTGGCTGGGTCGTAGAACTGCCAGCCAGGCGCGTCAGGGACAAAGCCAAGGAAGACGCAGGGAATGGCGCGAGGGGAGAGCTTGTCCGCGGTGGTATCGCGGACAAAGGCACGAGCACCCCAGACCCGGAAACGCGACGCATCGCCAACCTTCCCCGTCCAACGCAGTGTGGGCGAGGTCTCCGGCACGGAGACACGGGGCCAGAGGTTGAGCTGATGCGCGGCGTACCGGACCGCAAACGGCCACAGAAAATGGGGGGCAGCCGCATGGATCATGGAGGTACGAGCGACCTCCATGACCAAGCCAATGCGGTGCTCAGCAACCCCATTCTGCTGCGGAGAGGCCGGAAGCGTGAAAGTCTGGCGGATGCCGTGCTCCGCACAGTAGGCCGCCAAGAGGTCAGAGGAGAACTCACCACCTCTGTCAGAGTGCAGACGCAGGACAGGAAAGTCCGACTGGAACCGCTCGCGGAGCTGGAGACGAACAGCGCGGATCCAGGGGATCAGAACATCAGGGACCTCACCCTTGGTGCGCAAGGGGAAGACCGTGGTGTAACGCGTGTAGTCGTCGACGACCAGCAGGAAGTACCGCTCGTGGCCCTGCCCCCGGACGCGGGCTGGACCCCACACGTCCAGGTGGAGAGT